TCTTGAAAATTCCTCTTCAAACAATGTTATAATTTTGGCTTTCAAGTATAAAACACTACTTAAATAACTCAACAGGGAAAGAACAGTCTATTATACTTACCTAGATAGTTATCACTTCCGTTGAATGTCCTTCATTCTGAGGGTCTAGGTTCCCTTCTGGCATTATTTCTGTCTGATCAACTACTTTAGCAACTCTTCTAAGCACATTTGCTCACAATTAATTCTCTTACTTTTTATTCATTTGAAAATATCTTTTTAAAAAGTTTTTTTTAAGTTATTGATGGACACAGTGTCTTTATTTTTTTTTATTTATTTTTATGTGGTGCTGAGGATCAGACCTAGGGCCTCACCTGTGCTAGGCAAGAATGCTACCACTGAGCTACAGCCCCAGCCCTGAAAATGTCTTTTTTTACCTTCTTACTGAAGGATTTTTCACTGAATAATAAAATTCTAGGTTGACACTTCTTTTGTTTTAGTACACTGAAGATGTACATAGACCTTTTTGTTCCTTTTCTTTCTTTTTTTTTTTTTTCCTTAGTGAGAAATCTATAGTCTGTTGAATCATATTCCTCTCTGGTAATAAGTTTGCTCAGTATGAGATCAACTCATACTGCCTTACGTTAATGGTTGCTTTTAATCATCATGTATAAAATCTAATATGGAGTCTGAAATCTCCAAGCATACTACTTCAGCTGGGTCTTTTATGTTTCAGTCTCACTTTTCACATAGTTAGTGAAAATTCTTGTGTTCAATAAATTATCTTTGGGAAAGGTAGCACTTAAGCAGATTTCTCCTTCTGAACCTACACACAGAATTTAGAAACCATGTCGTCTCTGAAGGATCAGATTCCCTTTTACTTTGTCAGCTCTATCATTCTTTCTCTCCCCCACTGTTTTTCCCCTTCTTGTCACTGAGTGATATTTAAAGATTACAATTATTGGAGAAGAGAATCAGCTTTCATGCCTCTTTTCTATCATTAGAAAGTACCTAGCAGGTTAACAATTAGCCCTAGGCCTTATTCTCTGTCTGGATTTTATAGATAAAGCACCTAAATTCTCTTAGGCTGACTTAAAACAACAACCTGTTTTAGCTTTGTTGGGTGAACCGAGACCAGTCTGCAGTGACCTTCACAAATAGGGCAGCATAAATGTTGGAAGACATGTCTAGGCCTGAGGGCTGCTAGTGGTGACAGCAGGAGACAGTTTTGACAGGCCCTTATAAAACAGAAGAGAGCAGAAAAACAAGCTGTGAGAGTTCATAGGCCAATTAAATAGAACGTTTCATCTCATTCCTTGTGTAGTTTTCCCAGGGAGCTACAACTGGTTTTTCCACCATGGGTCATGTGCTTCACCAGGACCCAGGGCAAGTGTGCAGGGAGGGCAAGGAGGTACCGGTGCTGACCTTCAGGATGGTCTTTCTATGGCGTGACCTGGAGGGTCAGCAGCAGTTCCTTCTTTAATATAGCAGTATTGGCTCCTACGATCATGTTTCCAAAGTATGGTGTACAGAAAGACGTTTCATTCCCCCATTTATTGTTAATGTCATCATGTGCAAGGCGCTGCCCACAGCTCAAACTTCATATTGAAAATGTCTGAGGAATACTGGTGTTTGTGAGAACGAATGCCCTGCAGGTGGGCAGTGTGTGTGCCATTCATCTTAGCCTCACAGGGCCTGGCCCCAGCTGGGATACTGCAAGCGCCCCCTCCTTCCTCAGCACCCCCTCTTACTGCCAGCCCTTCTTGCACCTCCCAGCTTGTGCCCCCCCACCCCAATCCCTTTCCTGGCCTCTTCAATATCCTGTGCTTTTTCTGGTGGCCAGGTCTTCAGAGGTGCCTCTCTGTGTCTGGCCACCTTCCTGCATGGCTGGGTTGTGAGCCCTGGACGTTCCGACGCCCTGTGAAGACTGCGCTTGGATGACACTGTATTGCTTTGCATTTCCCATGACTAGACCATGAGTTTAAGAACATTTGGAGGCTCCCGTGTACCTAGAACTGGGTAAAGATAAATGAGAAATAAGTTTTGTCTTCGAGGCACTTCCAGATTATCAGACTAGATAACGCTGGTCTTCTGTTGTCAGGGGAGACAGCAAGAGAAGGAAAAAAAAAAAAGGCTGATTGGCTTCAGCAGCGCAGAGATCACTGGTACCCGGATGAAGCAGATCCAGGAGTCACTAGTTCCCGGATGAGGCAGGCATAGAGGTCACAGGTACCCGGATGAGGCAGATACAGAGGTCACTGGTTCCCGGATGAGGAAGTGGGCTGCAGGAGATGAGGAGTGAGCCGTAGGTGGGATGTGCAGGCCGTGAAGGTGGGCGTGCTGCCAAGGAGCTTGGTGGGAGGAGTGTGGGGTTAGCCAGAGGGAGAGAAAGAGCAGTGATCCATTGAAAGCTGCTATGGCTTTTGTTGTTTATTGTGAGGGATGGAGATCTGCCCATGTTTAAAAGGTTGTAGGAAAAAGAAATCCTGGGAGAAATGGAACTGTAAAGGAGAGGGAATGGTCCATGGAATGAAGTTACTGTATCAGTGTCCTCTCGCTGCTGTAACAAATGACCCCAGAACAACAGATACTTACTCTCTCACGCTTCTGGAGGCCATAAGGCTGGAAGAAATGTGTTGGCAAGGTTGCATACCCTTGAAGGAAGGCTCTAGAAAGAATCTGTTTCCTTGTCCTTTACAGATTCTAGTGACTGCAGATGTTCCTTGGCTTGTGGCCATATCATTCCAGTCCCACTTTCCCCTCTCTTGTGTAAAATCTCATCCTGCCCTCCTCTTATAAGCATGCTATGATGATATTAGGTCTCATCTGGATAACCCAGAATAATGTCCTTATCCCAAGGTCCTTAATCACCCGCATTGACCTTTTTTCTAGTCATAAGCACTCGGTACTTTTAGGGCTATTATTTGATCTATTACAGTCTGTGGAGATGGAGAGGGAGGGAGGGATCTGCACTGAGAAACACTGAGTTGGGCAGGGCACTGTTGGAGGAGAAGAAGACAAGACTGGATGGAGCTCAGAAAAGCTCAGAAAAGCTCAGAAAAGGAGTTAGGGTGGGGAGTGGGAAGGTAGTGGTGGGAACTGGTAGGAAAGGGCTCTCAAGAAGATCCTCACTGTGAAATAACTTCTAAAAGTATTTCAAGAGGTGACTGGAGATGGGAAGAATTGCCAGGCCATATGGGACCACCTGTGACTAGGACATAGAGGTATTGTGGCATCAAACTTACGATAGGGGACATTCTCTGGTAGTTTAGGCAGCCTGCATATGTGTGTATGTATGTGTGAAAATAAGGCAGCAGTTAAATTTTATCCAAGTCAGAGTTTAGCAGGTTGAGTTTGAAAAGCGGACGCACAAGTATTGAGAGTATGAACATCCCTCCATTTCCAGGATCCCTCTCGAATAATAAAATCCACAGATGCTCGAGTTCATTATATAAAATAGTACAGTATTTGAATAGAACCTGTGCACACCCTATTGTATATTTAGCTCATCTCTAGATAGCTAATACAATGTAAATGTTAAGTAAATAGCTGTTACACTGTATCGTTTAGGGAATGATGAAAAATATTTTTCTCAAATATTTTTTTGCACCAGGCTTGGGTTTAACTCATGGATGCAGAACCCAGGGAGATGCCTTTTCATGAGCTCCATCCTGAGGTATGGCGTGGTTGCATAGGTTCAATTTTCACCTGCAGAAATGAAAGCTTTGCTCAAGAGGTCTGCTCAGCTTGGTGTGGCTAGATCATGGGACCGTGGCAGTCAAGGTGAGAAAAAACACAAGCCAGGCTGCTGGTCATGGATGGTTGGGGAACTGCAGCCTGGGGGCTGACAGACTGGAGAACCATCCTATGATGCACAGGCAGGGTCTGTTCTTCCAACAAACCCACTATGAGCAGGTGAGGTTTCAGGCCCTTGTGGAAATGTCAGAAACTTCAAATAGGGGAAGACCTGGAAACCTCACATAAGATAATCCTGAGTTAGAACAGAGGACACTTTTGACTCCTAATTCAAGACATGATTTCCCTCAGTAATAAATACAAAGTCATAAGACACTGCCTTCTTAAAGCACGTTATTTATATTTTTTGTCTTAGAATTGCTTTAAATTTCTCAGTGTGACTCTAATAGTTTGTTGAGTCCTCTTTGCTAAATTAACAAGGTGGGGTTTCAGGGTGCAGTTTTATCTTCTTCATAGCATGTTTGGTCAGATCTAATTTCCAAGGTTAATGATTCCCAAGTAACTTACACTGCTTGCACATAGTGAATACTTAGATGACATTTATATAGGTACCCAGAATACTTTAAATTAGTGTTAGCAGATAATAAAATAAAAGCATGCTAGTCATTCAGATCACTCAGAGGATTACTGAGGTACAAGAACAGCCTGGCTCAGAGAATAACCCAGAGTGTTCAGCTAAAGTGAAGTCACCCTGGATAACAGCTTAAGCACAGATATAATTGCCCTGTCCCACCAGCTTTGAAGTAGTGTGATTCTTGGTGAATTCTTATAATTTGGGAACATTTTGAATCACTTCAAACTTTGCAAACCAAGTGAGGCTTTATTAATGTTTTTCATGGCACGATTTCAACTTTGCATAGTTCACATCAGCATGAGCTCTATCCATTCAGCCATCCAGTGTCTTTGGAACACTTTCTGTAAGGCAGATTCTGTCCTATGTGGTGTAGATTCATCAGTGAACAAAACAATGTTCTACTCCCAGGGACTCTAGTCTGATAGGGATACTGACAATATGCAAATAATAGATACATGACATGACACCAGATAAGTTCTGTGAGCAAACACAATACAGGGAAAACAGGGACAAGGAAGATGAAGGAAGAGGTGCCATTGCAAATAGGGGCCAGAGGGAGCCATGCAGACATTAGAGGGAAAACATTTGAGGAAGAGGGAGCAAGTAATAGGAGCATCCTTGTGACTGTTTGGCCCATAAGGGACTGGGTCTGGCAGTGACATAGAAGGTGACTAAAGCCATTGGTTATGGAATCAGACCCAAGTTAAAAACCCAGCTCTATCACCCAGTAAATGTGCCTTTGGACAAGTGATTTGTTATCATTCCAAGTCTGTGGTTGTTTATCTGTTGAATCAGGATAATAGAAATGCTTGGCTTATGCAGTTGTAGTAAGTATAAAATGTGATACTATCCATAAAACCCTTATCTCTGACTGTAAGACATACATGTGTCCAAAAATAAGATGGCTGTCACTCTTGCAGCCACCACAGCCACGCACTGTGTAACAGCGGTGTCGTTCGTGTTATGACGTTCACACAACAACAGCATTACCTAAGGGTGCATTTCTCAAAATGTAACTCATTAAGTGACATAGGACTATATTATTATCATAGTTACCAGGAATAGTAACCCTTTGAAAGCAACATTTGTGTGGTTGCTACTGCCAAGGCAACTTGGACAGAGTACAAGGCTTATTTCTGCTGAGAAATGTGTCTAAAATGTAAACATGTCTGTGGTTATTCAAACATATGACTCCCCTCCTGACCAGTGCGGGGAAGGCAGAGGGCAAGAGAGCCCAGTGCAGAGCAGAGAGTGGAGATCAGAGTGTAAGCAGGACCCTGCGAGAGGACTTGTTCTCTGCTGTACTCTGGAGGGCCTTCTGGGCTGACAGACTGAGTCCCACCTGAGCCCTGCGGCTCTAGAAGGCAGTGCACATGCGCTGTGTACACAGCTGCCACATCCCACACCCCCGCTCTGCCTTGATGGCTGTGGATTAATGCAGCAGATGCTGCGTAGAGCTGGCTGGGGACTTTCCTCTTACGTGTTCTCTATTCCCTTATGCCCCAGAACCTTTGCTCAGCCAAGGAGACCACAGTCAGATGCAGCACAGGGTGGAGCGCCTGCTGAGTGTGAAGCAGAGAACTGAATTTGTCAAAAGAAAACACTTGGGTTTTTATAAATCTGAAATCTTTATCTTCTTCCTGTTAGTGATATACCAGATGTCATAGTCACTTGTCACCTTTTCTGCTTCTCCCATCAGAATGGGAGCTCCTTGAGAGCAGAAACTATTCTTATGTCTCTTGTACCGAGAACCTAATTGTTGCATGCTTGTTGCATGCAGTGGCACAGATCTACAATCCAAACAACTCAGGAGGCTGAGGCAGGAGGATTGCAAGTTTGAGGCCAGGCTTGGCACCTTATTGAGAACCTATCTTAAAATAAAATAAGGGATTGAGATATAGCTCAGTGGTAGAGGATCCCTAGTATTGTAAGGAAAGAAAAAAAGCCTGACATGTACTTAAGAATGAATGAATGAATAAATGAATGAATGACTCAGATGTTATAAATGGAATTCACCATAATAATTAGCCTTATTATGACTAGATACTGATTTTGCATTTTATATTTACAGAACATTTTTGATTAAATTATGACCCTTGAACTTCACTCTTGAGAGAGGCGTTGTTGCTCTTTTGCAGATGAAGTTACTGAGGCTCAGAGGCTATATATTCTTAAGACTAGTTAGGTAATTGGTGGTGGAGTGGAATGGCTGGGTTCCCCCCACTAGACTGCACAGCCTCCTCATAATGAGCAAAGAAGAGCTTTACAAAGCTATGTGCTTCATCCAGTCACCTACACACCCACCCACCTACTCACCCACTCATTTATTTATTCACCAGAATTTACAGAACACTTTCTTTAAACATTACTTGGTAACAGCACAAGTGAGTGGTATGAGCTCAAATTCTAGAGTCACAGCAGCTCTGGATTCAAGTGCAGCCTTCGTTGGTCCCCAGCTGACCTTGGGTATGGAAGGCACACTTCATGAGCCTCAGTTTTATCACAGATTGCTATGATTTGGATATGGTTGGAGCATGTTCCCAAAGGTTCATGTGTTTTGAGTTTGGTCCCTAGTGTGGTGGATCTGGGAGGTGGTGGAACCTTTAAGGGGTAGGGCCTACTAGGAATTCTTTAGATTACTGGGGGTGCTACCCTTGGAAGAGATTAATGTGGTTTTGGAATGACCCTGATTAGTTCCTGTGAGAGTACGTTGTTAGAAAGAGTGAGCCTGACCCCTGAGTCTTTCCTTCTTATTGTCTCATCATGTGATCTCTTTCATGCCACGATGCTATCTACTATTAGGCCCTCATCAGAAGCCAAGAAGATGGAGCAGTCTAATATTGGGCTTTCAGTCTCTAAAACTGTGAGCTAAAAAACCCCTTTTCTTTATAAAGTATGCAGTCTCAGTTATTTTGTTAGAATAGCAACAGAAAGCAGACTAAGACACAGGTCAAGCAACTATCACAGCCTTCCCTGGAGAGTCAGGTCTCAGCTCTCAGCTTGGGAGTTGCTAATCTAATGCAAGAAAAAGAAAGCAAATCATCATAGCAAGTGTAGCATGTGCTGGGATAGAGTCCCACTCTACTTGGAAGGAGGATCAGGGAAGTTTCTAGAGGAATCTTAAACAATTTTCTTCAGACTGACCCAGGAGAAGAAAACATCATTCCTGAGAGAGGAGACACATGTTCTGTATTCATTTTTAATGACAGAAAATATTTCTGTTAACATCTTTCTAAAATCAGTTTCAAATTTTCTTGAGTTATTCAAGAAGTTACAAAAAGCAACTTTACCCTTATGCTATAATTTCTTTTCTGCAATTCCTTGGGGCCTCCAAATGGGCTGCTTGCTCTCTACTGGGAGCTGGGCCACCTCCTTGCTCACTGGTCTACCGTCACATTCCCTCAAGTTGCCAACTTTTCAGCCAGCAACCCCCGGCACCACACAGTCCTGCTATCTGCCACACAATTCTCCAACTTGCTTTGAACATGCTTTCTTCTTTTCTCTCCAGCTTTTCTCCCATCACTACTGGGCTACTTGACTTTTGTGCCAGGAAAACTTGGCCTGGATAACCATGACCAGTCGAAAGTAGAGTTCCTTGTTTCCTACTTGGGAAGTTCAGTCAAGTCCTCAGACTTCTCTTGGCCTTCAGGGCAACACAGGTCTACACAGATGAGCACAGGAGGTGTACCATGGGTGGCTCACCTGGAAAGAAGTTTTCTGTACATGCAGGCATCTGTGAGATACCAAGTATGTGTGTCAGAGAAGTGAGTGGGAGAGGTACCTAGTAATTTGGGAAGTGGGGACAGATGGAAGGCCATGTGATTTGAGAGGTTCTTAGAAAACTGTGGTGAGGAATCTTGAGGGAGGTGTTGAGAAGGACCTTGGTGCTCCGCAGGCAGCCAGAAGGGCCAGGGATGGACCTAGCTGGGTAGAAGGTTCTCAGGTATAGGAAATGAGTCCTTCTTTGGGCCAGTCTGTGTTGCTGATTTATCTGGTCTCTCTCTCTGTCTCTCTCTCTCTCTCTCTCTCTCTCTTTTTTTTTTTTTTGGTACTGGGGACTGAACCCTCTGGCGCTTAACCACTAAGCTACATCCCCAGCTCTCTTTTATATTTCATTTAGAGACAGGGCCTTGCTGAGTTGCTTAGGGCCTTGCTACATTGCTGAGGCTGGCTTTGAACTTGCAATCATCCTGCCTCAGCCTCCTGAGCCACTGGGATTACAGGCATGCACCACTGTGCCCGGCATCCCTGGTCTCTTGAAGCCAGAGTTCTGACTGCTCTCTGTTTGCAGGCTCTGCAGTCTTTGTCTGAAAAGGGCCAGGAGTAAGTGTTTGGGGCTTTGCAGGCCATAGGCCTCTGTCCCAATCACTCCACCCCATGGTACAGTGCAGAGATAGCCATAGTGACACAAGCAAATGGGCCTGGCTGAGTTCCATGAACATGTTCTTTACAG